CTAGGTTGCATGGAAACTCCGTTCAAGTTCCGTTTCTTGTTTCAGAAATGTTCCGGAATCGGAATTTCTTGGAAACTCGAGGAAATTCTTTGTAAACACGTTTTTTGAAAATTTCATTTTGGAAACACGATGGAAACTTGTGTTTCTGATTTGGAAACTCGCGATTCTAATTAGAAACGTAAAAAATAATTATTTGATGTTAGTGATTACATGTTTATTATTTTATATTTTAATATTATCTTTTGATATTTGTTATCATTTTAATAAAATGATTTCATTTGGAATAAAATCGTTTCATAGTTTTATCGAATGATAACATGTGTTACTTTTCTAGTAATGATTATAATTTTAATAAAATGTACAAAAAAATATTTATATTACTTAATTTTTTTCTTAGATAAATCAAACAAAAAAATAAGTTTACATAATGATTAATCATACATACATATATATATATATATATAATATAGGCGTTTCTAAAACGTTTCCATTTCTAATTTTTTTGAAAATCATGTTTCCACGTTTCGAAATGTTTCGTTTCCACGTATCCGTTTCCGATTCCATGCAACCTAAGATTTCATGATATCCGTCAGTTTATGTATCAAACTTGTATTTCACCTGGTATGAATATTTTCATATGACGAAAAAAAAATTGAAAAAGAAGATTGTTAAAGGCAAAGCTTATATGAACTTTGATGCCTATCAAAAGAACATAAATGCAATAGTAACAATCATTTAATTATCCTACGTTAAACAATATTTAAGGTTATGACAGTGATCGACTTTATGTGGAATAAATAAAGGATCCAACTAATTATCCCACTAGTTGCGTTAACAAAGATGCGAAAATATTATTTAATCGGAGAGAGTTAACTATGTAGAACTCTGGTGGGTGAATTATATATTTATTTAATTTGGCCCTGACTGAAAAAAATTCTAAATATCCAAATTTCCAAAACATTAATCTCTATCTCTGTAATTATCTGATTTCTTACATTCAAATTCTCATGTTGAAAATTGGAGTGACTAATATAATTTATCTACTAATAATAACAATTTTCATCAATGTGAAATGGTGTGAACTTCAATTAAATTGAAAGAATGTGATTTTTCAATAAATAATATCAAATGTTGTGTTGTTTCATTATAAAAATTACATTAATTGAAAATATGTCAAACTATATACGTATCTTTTAAACATCATCTCTTAATGTATTTTTTTAACAGTTGTGTCTTTTAAATTATTATAACTAACTCAACTTAATTTTGAAAAGATGCAACTGTTGTTGTTTTTTGTCAAGGTTGCAACTGTTAATTTTAAATAGCTGCATCTAATAGTTATGAACAATGTTTTGAACGGTTGCATCTGTTGATTATGTTTACTCGTTTTATATATATAATGTGTATTGTACAACAGTTTCACATAAAATCCCTTTCTTTTATTTATTGTTTAAAGAATTGATAAACATTCTTTCACATAAGATTTATGAAACGGATAGAATTTTTTTTATTTTTCATTTTATAAAGATAACTGAATATATATTAATATATAACTATATATCATTACTAATTTGAAATTGTTGAAAATTTACAGATTTTAAAAAAATTAATATCTTGCTAAATTATTTTCAGCATATTTGTTGTAATTTTTTTTAATTTATATTTATATTTAAAATAAAAATACATCAAAAGATATTATGATTGAAGTAGTTACAAAGATCTTATTATTAGTTTTAATGAAATATAGTTAGTATAATTTCTTAGTGATTGTCCAAATAAAAAAAATCAAACATGAAATGAGTTATGATTTCTATTTTAATAGAATAGATAGATGTTCATAGTTTATGTTTCTAAGAGATAACTGTTTTAGAAAACATATAATTTTGTATGTAACTTTTGTTAGTTGATAAGCATATAATTATATTTTCTAAAAATTTAAAGAGTATATTTATAATCAGATTTTTTTTTCTTTTCTTAAATAGGCATGAAATCTTAGAAATATTAATTTGAAAAGGAGAGTACTTAACATGAATTCTAATTACAGCATTTAACATTCTGTGTTTTTATATCAGTAATAAAATGAGATAATGTTTTTTCTTTATGATGTTTTTTTTTGTCAACCTTTATGATGTTAATCATCACTAATATTGGCTTGTCAACATTCAGCTGTTAACTAGTTTGTTATTGAATATAGCATAATTTAGTTAATTAGAAGAATATTTTTCTTTTCTTTTTATTTTTTATTAATGGCGGTCCAAGAGCAAGGGATGAGCAGAATGATGCAAGAGCATCGAAGATGTCCAGTCTTGTCTACCACAAGTTCTCCATACCTTAGGGTTTATGATTACCACTTTTACTTATTTTATTTTTCTTAGTCGTCATTATTATTGTATCATCAAATAATTCCTTATTTGCATGCGCTATCCAATTAAACGGAGCTAATAATACCGACAACGATTTGCTATACATTCCATGTGGTAATTAGGTTTTCTGAAACCAAAAACTAGAAGTAAGATTTCTGATATCACTAATGTATCTCTCTTTAATAAAAACAGAAACTCTCTTTTGAGTGTCACGATATAATATATTGGCATCCCGAAACTACAATCTACTTGATTATGTGGATCATGTAGATCTACTTTTGGCATAATCTTCAAGGTGGAAACTAAAACCTAGCCAAGCTTTGGTCTTCAATAAAAGACGTCCAATTCTGTAAAACATATAGAAGAGTAAGGCTCATGTACCACTTTTGATCTCCTCCTACTTTTGCTTATCATTTCATCGATTAGTCACAATTAAAGTGTTATATCTCATCTCTTACTGCGCGCAACTAGATGAAGAGTGGAGAGGTAAAAATAAGCCGTAAGAAACAATGATTTCCATGTGGAGGGAGACAGGAAGAGCTTCTTAGTGACCCCCTTCCAAAATTACATAGTTCTCTCACGTGGCCCACTTCTTCAATTATATCATTCACCATTTCAATCATTCACCACTAATTCTACGTTCACTTTTTTTACATTTCTATATTTATTAGCTAACAACCAAATTATGCTTTCTTAAAGTGGTTGTATACAAATAAGAAAAACAAGCTTTTAGTTTGTAGAAATGTGGTATTTGCTACCAACAATATAATGGAAGCAAATGATCAATCTAGTACATTGATCGGAAAACTGAAATGCAGTAATATAATGAATGATATTGTCATCTTAAATCAAGAGAACTCAATTTTTCTCCATGAGATATTTCAATTAATCAAAAATTTACATATCATGTTTAAAAGCATATCTAACCTCACGTCATATTTCACTCAAAAATAGATGGAGTAAGAAATGATTTAATCCTACTTCACTTCTCCATTACATAATAGAGTAAAATCTGAGTTTACTCTATAAATAGAGTATTACTTTCTTTTTTTTATCATTACTCCATTTTCCTTTTAAAACAGAGTAGGATTATAGTAAAACTCAACTACAAAAAATTGAGACTTAAATTATATATTTACAGATGTGACCATTGTTTACATTTGATAATAATCATGAAAATGTCATCGGTCACATATCTAAAAACAAATAAAATTTGAGTCTCTTAAGCAGATCACGAGTAGATAGCTAAAATATTCTAAACTAAAAGAACAAGAGCCATTTTATATATTGTAATACAGAAATTAATATTATAAATATAAATATATGAATAAATGTGATATTTTCTAATTTATATTCACTAAATAATACATACGTATATATATGAAAAATGGCAAAAATCAAGATTGATTATGACAAAACAAAAGTATGGTAATATTTTACATCCTAATTTTTCTGTTAACTTTATACTACTAAGAGAATCATACCATTTGATACAACTTTTGTTTTTTTATATACACTTGATATAACTTGGTTAGTTTTTTTTTTTATTCTATGAAAACGAAACCTCAACCGATATTTTTACATGTGCTGTATAATCACAAAAGCCCTAAATGAATACATACATGATATATTTATAATTAGTAAGATATTATTATTTATTTATCCGCCAAATAAAAAGAATATATACTGTGTTTCTTTTTTCCTTACTACTTTGTTTTGGTCATATGCATGGATATCACATATGTGCATCAGTGCATGGATCTATAAGTAAACAGATGCAGTGATGAGCCTAGATTAGAAATGAAACATCTGCACGTGTTCCTCTGTCTCCGTCCATATCCTAAGCAACAAAGTTTGTAACCAGATATTTATATTCACAAAACAATTCGGTTGCCTTGGATTCCTCCTCAAAATTTAGAGTTTGCGAATACAATAACTGTACACAAATACAATAGTATAAGTGTAATTTTGTACAGATAATTGAGCAAAATGGAAAATAGATCTTGATGAGTAATAGAATGTAAAAATGATTTAAAGTATCAGAATAATTAGAACATTAATTTATTCAGATATTAGTAATTTTTTATATCAGTGTGTAAGATATATGTGAAGGAAAAAAAATAATTCATAATGGAAATCACAGTGCAAAAACATTTTCCTCTCTAATTTTGTTGATGAAACACACTAATTTTTAATTCAACTTTCAAATAAATTTAATTCAGTATTTAGATTAACTCTTTCATTAAAGATTCACAATTCAAATTCGTACACTTTTGGAGGTTAAATCAAAAACACTCATTGAAAATTGTATAAGTATAATTCGACCGACTTAGCCACGTTGCTGCGAAACTAAGATGATCATGATAAATCATGGCATGTTTTATAAAACCAGTGAAGGAAGAAAACAATGTACACTCATTCGTATGCACACACTAACCAATGCATCATAAGATTCGTATAAAACATACAAAAATAATACTACTACTATAAAACTAAAAAAGAGGAGACAAAGATTCTAGCAAATATTCTATAATAAAAAGTAAAAAAAAAAAAAGACATGAAATAGCGTGGCACCTACTCTTCTTCTACTTCTACCTTTACTACATCTCTTGTCTTCATACACCTTTACACTCCTCTCTTCTCTTCTCTTCATCATTTCTTCTCCTTTACACCTTTGACCTCCCTCCAATGGTGGAAACTTCAAAACACTAAACTTCATCTTGCTTCTCTCCCTCTCTTTAATGGCGGCGCGAAAACTTGGGACGTTGTTACGTCAGCATCTCTTCTATGTTTTCTTTCTCTTCGTCGGTTGTTTCTTCTTCCCCAAAGGAGTTGACTGTAGACAAAAGAGGAGAAAAAAGAAGCTTAGAACGGTTTCTTCCGGTTCAGGTCCCGGTTTATCCTCTCCTTGGTCGTATTTAAAACGTGTTCTCTTATCCACCACGAGGATATCTAAACCCCGCAACCAAACACACCTCAACGGTCAGTTAACGACTCTCACTCCCGCCAGATCGTCTCACAACTCTCTCGTCACTCTCGTTCAACCCGACCCGGAAACCCGTATCGAAAACGGGTTCTCGGAGTCGTCGGACGACGAGATATTCCCTTGCAAGACGTGCGGAGAGATTTTCCTCAGAACAAACCTCCTCGAGCACCACATCGCCGTCAAACACGCCGTGACGGAGCTAACCGACGGCGAATCAAGCACGAACATCGTCAAAATCATATTCAAATCGGGCTGGCCCGATTCGAATACCAGAACTCCAAAGATCCATCGGATCCTGAAGATCCACAACAGCCCCAGGATCCTCGCGAGGTTCGAGGAGTATCGAGACTTCGTCAAGGCTAAAGCCGCTCGTCGCAGCACCAGCGGCGACGAACGGTGCGTCGCCGACGGGAACGAGCTGCTGAGATTCCACTGCTCCACGTTCATGTGTGAGCTAGGGCAAAACGGTAATTCCAGCCTCTGCGGGCATCAGTACTGCAGCGTCTGCGGGATCATCGGAGCAGGATTCTCGCCGAAGCTCGACGGGATCGCGACGCTCGCGACGGGGTGGAGAGGACACGTGGCGGTTTCTGAGGAGGTGGAGGAGGAGTTTGGGTTTATGAACGTGAAACGGGCCATGCTGGTTTGCCGGGTTGTTGCGGGTCGGGTGGGGTGTGATTTGATTGGGGATGATGACGTGGAGAAGAGTGATGGAGGAGGGTGTGATTCTCTGGTTGGGGGGCAAGGGAGTGGGAGTAAGAGTGGGGCTTTGTTGAGGATCGACGATGAGGAGCTTCTGGTGTTTAATCCAAGGGCTGTGCTTCCTTGTTTTGTGATAGTGTATACTGTGTAAGTGTGTGATCGTGTGTGTGTGTGTGTTTATATAATGTTACAACTCGCGAGTTTTTTTTTTGTGAGGTTTGGTTTAGGTCTGTAACTGTGAGTGTGAATGCTTTAGATGATTAAAAAAAAGTCTTTGTGGTGTCTTTAAATATGATCCAAGCATCTTTTGAGAGATTGTGTGACATATGATTCATAGATATTTAGTTTGAAGTCTAATAGTTTCTGATGTATAATAGTTATTTTTTTGATATGTCATAATTCGAATCCAATAGATATTACTGAAATTAAAAGCATTAGCACTAGACCAGGTTTTACAGAGTGAGATTAACCACTAGTTGACCCTTCTTGTTTTCATGTGTTTGAAGGAAGAAAACGTTAGACAACTGTGAAAGTGAAAAGTTTAATCATGTAATTATGTGAACGCTTTAGTTAATATCATATTTAGTGCTTTAGTTACAAAGTTGATGTTGAAAGGAATATATCTTGCAGTTGTTGTAAGCAATGAAAGAAAGTTGACATGATTGAAAGAGTGAAAAAAACAGACGATTTTATTTTATGCTTTTTCTATTTATTGATTTAGAATCAAATTGATTTGGTCAGCTTACATTCCATGAGATGCAACCTGATAGAGACCGCATATCGCAACAAAATCAACTTGTAAAACAACTTATTCTATTTGTATAAGACTGTCAGTTTTGTTTTTCATTTTGTCTGGCTCTCAAGGAGAATGGTATAATTTCTTGTTATTATGTGTGTACTGGCTACTCGCAAGAGCAAACACTTGCTACAATTGCTCTGTTTAAGTTGTTGCCATGCATCATAGTTATGATCATTGAAATCAAGAGTTAAAGGAATGCAAAATTTGATACTTGTAACACCAAAGCTCTTCAATTGTTGTAGGGGGAACATCCATGGTGCAAAGAGAGAGGATAAGCAGAACAGAAAGGAAGATAAATCATTTTGATGTCAAGTTCAGGAGCATTGGAGCTTTGATACCATGAAATTTGAAGAATTCTCATTGATGAAAGAAGTGTATATAAATGGATATGTAAAGCCAAAGAGGTTGCACATATTAACATAATATATGAATACAATGTTTTTAGATTATACCAGTGACTAACCAGGTGGGGATTTTAGACTTTCATTCCATTTCCATATCCAACAATTGGGGGAATCACCTTGTGGTGAGTGCTTCATTGTAAAGTGCTACGAAAAGCTTTATTAAGGAGGAGATAATAAATGTATTTTTCTTAAAACCAAGAGGTTCATAGTGTTTATAGTCAAGACACTGGGGGATCACTGCATTTCTTTGGTACTCCAGTTTAATATTCTTTGCAAGAGTAACTCCAAAAGTTATTTTAAAGTAAAAGTGGAATGGTGAATAAAAACAATTAGATTACTCTAATTTTGAAGTAAATTTTGACTGAGCTTAACCAAGTGGTTGCAGCTCGTCCGCATTTACTGAAAGAAGGGATTCACTAGTTGCTCTTTTAGTTGACTTGATGGTGTTTATATAGTAAGTAGTAACCGCTATATTTTGTGTTTGAATTTTGACCTAAAACGAAATGTTCATTTTAGCTTTGGCTACTTGTTGATCCAAGACCAGCCAACCATTCCTTATTTGATTTGTGTTTATTTTTCCTGTTACGCCAACCACATGAATTTGAGGAGTTGTTTAACTGGTTGTTTTACTGATTAGTCTGATACAAGCTTAGACATGATAAAAAGGTATAATTATCAACACTAGGACTGAAACGTGCTGAAGCTGCTTTACTAGTAAACTGATAGTATCCTATTTGCGAACCAAATAAATGATATGTAATAAAATGTACCCTCTTATACATTACTCTTAATTCCAGGACAGAGGCTCAACAGAAGTTCCATAAACCCAAGGCAGTGGAATATTTTCGTCCTATTCTCTAAAGTCTAGACTAGTTGCAACCATAAGCCCATGACTAACACACATATACATCATTAATATGCACATATGTATATGTATATATATTCATTAGTTAGTATAAAATGTTTATTTAGAGAGACTTGACGTTGTACAATCTTAACTAGATAGTGTCTTCCTGAGACTCGTCCAGAGGGAAACACGTCTCATCACCGCCGGTGTTCCATAGAAAATTAGCGTAATTAGCGGCATAGAAAGAGTTGGTCGGATCGGCATCGATGGCTTCCAAGAAAGTCTCCTCAGCCGCCCAAAGATCGTCCCGTGCTCTCCATAAGAAGGTTGCGTATTTGCTCAGCGCCTCTGCATCTTTCGGTTCCACTCCTATCGCTCTCTTGAAGTACTCTTCTGCTCTGTTACACAAAACATCATATGGATTCACGTGAGACACTAATTCACTAGAGATAGATAAGTAAGAATATTAATTCATCTATAACTTATATTAAATGGTAGATGCTTGAAAGAGTGTTTAATCCAATTGCAAGAGAAAGGGCAGAGTCTTGCAATACTTGCCAGTACTACTAAGCCTAGGCGTCTTTTTAATTGGACTGAACCGAAAATTATATTGAAACCGAATTAAAATTCTAGAAATAAACAAAATGTTTGTACTCTATATATCCAAAAAAAACTAAACCAAATCAAATTCAACATAATAACCACCGAATGTCCAGGCCTACTTACTACCACTAAAACTGCAGTACTAGTTTAGCTTATATACATTAAAGCCAATGACAAAAACATGTGTTAATCGGGGTGGAGAATAAATCTAGACAGACTTCCTTACAAAACAACCTTTAATAACTTGTTGGATTCTGGTGGGGAGTCTTTAAAACTCCACCGTAAACTCCACTATCATCAGCCCTCAAAGACTCAAAGCTCATTGGCTAGAACTAATCTTATGTCTATATATTCCCCTCTAGATATTTTTTTGCTGTACTGTCTTCTTACTCCAAGAGGAAAAGAAATGGTTCAGCTCTATTGGTCGAATATATTCTGCTGATGCAATTATTATGACGATTTCAACTTTAAAAAATAATTTTGAAATTTCCACAAATATGCCCCCACTAGTGAATAGAAAAATCATCGAGCACTACGCCTACTTTTGACTGTTAGCAACAACTTGCAGCCTCATAATTCACACCCCAAAAGAATCTACAAGGAAGATTCGACGACCTTAACTCCAAGTTTACTTAAGCTAGATAAAAATCTACGATTAATAACACAAAAATGTGAGAGTAAAGAATGTTTATTTACCTGTCGTAGTCATTAGAGACGATGTAAAGGAACTGAGCATAGTTAGCGAGAAGCAGAGGATTATTAGGCTCTTGAGACAGTCCCGTTTGGTAGAGAAGCTCTGTTTTAAAGTAATCAATCTCCTCATCTGCCTCTTCTACTCGAGCATCCAAAGGAGACACGAACCTCTTCCTCGTCTCCTGATCCAACAATCCATTGTCCGTATCCGAATACTGCATTTCCTCCGCTTCCTCCACTATCGAATTCCACAGCCTCAGTTCATCCTGTCCCGACACTGATGTCTTCTCTGCCTCTCTTGTCGTTGACCCGAGCGTTGACGACACTCCTTCTGGTATTATAGTTCTAAACTGTTCCGATCCATCATCACCATCAGTTCCACTCAACACCGGCCGGATATTTCCACCTCCGCCGTTGTTATTACCGCCCACAGAAGTCGAATTCCCGTTGGGAGAGGACGATACAAAGAACGTTTTAACCGTGGACGAGTCAAACTTCTCATTCACGTCTTGAATTTCAGAAACGGTGGTGGTCGGAGCAGCGACTGCAGCAAAAGCAGAGTTGCTACCGATAGAATAAACAGTGAAGTTCGCGAGGAGTATCATCACATAAACCATCAACGTAGGCGTAGCGGAGAAGACTTGCTGAAAGAGCCACACGAAAGAAGCGTGCATCTCTTCTCTAACCCTAAGCAAGATCCCTTGCAAGTCTTCGTAGAACAAAACCTCTCTCATGTGCAGAGTAAAACTCTGAAGCTCTCTAATCATAAACACCATCGAGGAGAAAGCCTTGTTCATCGAGTCGCATGCGGTTTGTTTGACTCTTTCCTCCCATTTACGCTTCTTTTTTATGATACGAAGGGAGAGTGGGAGGTCGACGCTGTTCGCTTTCATCTCGATCTCGAGTGATGTTCGTTGCTCTCTCTCGTCGTTGAATCTGAGGGTTAGTTCTTGGATCTTTTTGGAGAACTCTTCGTCTGAGAAGGGATCTAAGTTTGCGCTGCTGTAGACTCTTCGAATGGTGTGAGTCTTGGCTGGTTTGGATAGTTTCCATAGCTCGCAGGACTTGGAGCGATGGAGATTTGTAGAGGGAGGAGTTCCGAAGAGAGATGAACGGTTTAGTCTCTGAGGCAGGAAATGAGAGGATGGAAACGGTGCGTTGTGTCGTCGTTTTGAAGGAGATGAGATGGCTCTGGAAGCTAGGGTTTGGGAATGAGAAGAAGAAGGATGAGGTGTCCATTGAAGGAAGGGTGAAGTGTATGCTACTTTCACACCCATTCCAAATTTGGGTAGAAAATCTCGAGAAATAGAAGATTCAATGAATTAGAGAGCTTTGAAACGAGAAACTTTTAGCTAAACCTTTCTCGGGAAAAATCTTGAAGAAGCGGAGTAGCACGAGGCAAGTCGCTTCAACTTTACTAGTGGAACGCGGAGAGAGAAAGTGAGACGATGAACTTTATATACACAGACGCTGCACGAGTTTATCAAAAATATCGAAATACATTATTTAATTAATTGAAAAAAATAATAGTACAAAATATCATCGGGTTAGAGCCGGTTGAACAGCGACGCACGGTCCCTAGAACCGCCTCACATGATAAACCGGGGGAGTCTTATAGGGATTTTTTTTTTTTTTTTACATCTGACGGTATGAGGTTAGCCACGTGTGAAATTGATTTCCTTCTCCAAACTATTGGGATTCTGTTTTTCGTCATTTTCTGACACTAGGTGAGAAATACTATTAGAAAAAACTGATCAACGGTCTTGAAAATGCCACGTAGATATTTATATTGCTTTAAAACTAATTAAGATCTGAAAACAAAGGAGTAGGGTCCATAGTTTACATGTATTTTGGTAACTGTTGCGATTTACGTCTATGTTCATTTTCTGTTTGGTACTTTTTTTTCCTTCTTCCTTGTTATAACATTTTGTTTTATTACACGAGATATGTTAGTCGCTAATGTTGAGTTAAACATGCCAACATATACTTTTTAACCACATTTTGAACATAGGTTAAACCACCAGTACCAAAATCAACCGAGTTCTTTTTGGTTCTGGTTCGAACATTATTTACAAAACCATTCACTCTGGTCTCTGAACCAAACCCAAATCCAAAAAAAAAAAAACAAATGTAAGAAGAAAAACTCGAGATGTGATAGATATCTTGTTGGAACGTGAAAAAACTGAGAGGGGTGAAAAATCGACGATGGAGAAGGAGAGAACACCAATATGCACCAACTTGGCCATAAGATAACGTCGTTGAGACAACGACGTCTGGACGAAGGTGAAGAATTGACGGCTCTCGTTTGGTTTCTGCTCGTATCTTCTTAACGGTTGATATTTATTCTTCTTTCATTGGACCCTTCTCAGTTCTCACACTTCATCGATATTATTTATTCATCCCCTAGGTTCATTCAATATCATTTAATTCACGTACGGTGGAATCTTTCTTTCTTTATTATCGTCTATATTTGGACCGTCGAGAAAATTTCGTGAAAAAGAAATGAGGAAACATGGATTTTATATGATATTTAGATTGTCTCGTGACAAGTGTTGGGCACATCGCATGTGAATATATGTAAACTGTTGTTAGATTTTATTAAAAACTAATTGTTAAAAGATGGAGTTCAGAGTAACGTAATTATCTCCAGCTACTTTCATTCTATTCATTCATAATTTTCAGTTATTCTCAGTATGTTGCTTTATCTACCATTATTCTTTCGGTTATACACTTATACCAATCACACGACTCATTAGCTTTCAACTATGCTAGTAACTTCTCAAACTTTACTTGAAGTGTGAATGTGTGATTGATATTGTATTGTGTCGAAAGACGAATGCTTAATGTAAAATGAGAGCATACTACTACGAATAGCCGAACTTTGTGTGTGAATAGATGTAACAGGTGTAACTCTTGATATAATTGTTAGCTAGGTTACAGTATTGATCATACGCAGATCTAGAGGTACATACTAGGCATATACATTCAGTACAGAAGTTAATTAAGCAAGTAATTCATGATTTGATCTACTTTAATTGAATCAAACGCCAAGGGTTATACATCTAATATTTTAAAATAATAATAATACATCTAATATTGTATGACTGCAATCGCCGGAAGACGGATGACAGATGTAAAATGTGAACATATAGCAAGATTAGTTAAAATCTACTATAATTAAAAGCTTTTATTAAGAGCATTTGAAGCTGTCCACGTCATCTATTATATTCAACTAATAGAGACATTTCATTCTACCGCATCAAATGCATTCTATTGGGCTGGATTTGGTTTTGAGCCTGAAATTCGTTTTGTTGGGAGGTCCAGTAACGATCTGTTCAGATGAGCCAAAGTTCTTCTCTTCTTGATTTTGTTTGGGCCTGAAACCCGTTTTGGTGCGAGATCCAGTGATAAACCAATAAGATTAGGTTAAGGTCTCTTCTCCTCTCATCTTATCTCTCGATTCGTCTTCTTCCACACTCTGCTTCCATGAAGTTAGAAGAAATCATGTTGTCCATATCTTCAGTCTGTTTTTCAAAATATTTTTACATGTTTTTCGATCCTGATGCAGCTCGTGAACCTCCTTTTAACACGTCGTAAGTATCTGATTCCTTAGACGTTAGAAGAAATCTTTAACAATTGCCTTCCTTTCAATGGAACCGTATTTATAAAACAGTCGAGACAGAATGTATCAAATTCAATAAAAGTTATTGGGTTCACATTTAAAACGTATGTTGTTGGGAAAAATAAATTAAAAATTTCAGGATTATCACTGATACTCATACCAATAAGTCGAATACATGGGGGATCCCACTTAGTTCTATTAAAATATTCTCGCATTATCAGTATGGATTGTTAGTTTAAGTAATTTGTATTCCTTTATATAGCTAAAGATAATAAGTAGGTTATTTATGTTGTCTTTTTGGAAGTATACAATTCTATAAAAGGTGAAAGTAAGTTGGCTATGAATCAAGACAAATAGGAAATCAAACAACAAATGTCCGAAAATGTTTGGGCGGTAAATAAAACAAATAGAAAATGATAGAATACACCATGTGAGATATTAGAGGGGTTTGGTTTATGAAGATTGATATGATAATTGATGGACGATGGGAAAAATAATAATATGTTGGGGCCTAAAATCGCATACTCGTCATCTGGGATGATCTTGTTTGGTGTCTTGTTTACGTAGATGTATAGCATAGCAATTAAATGTCGCTGCTAATGTATAAACTGATCAGGATTCTCGTATATTTTTTTTTGAATTACTTTGTTCTTCATCGGAAGAAAATATATTTGAAAAGTCCAACACGTTGAATTACAAAAATAAACTAATTAAATCCAGAATTTTATTATTATGCAAGTCTTTATTTACTTGAACACAGCAAAACAGAGCCAAATAAATGCATATACAAAAATTTGAGTGGATCGTGGCTCTTGATAAGATGCTATACCAATATGAGAATCAAAGGGAGATAGACATATAAAAAAGACCACCACGCTTATCACTTCTTATCTTCTTTCTACCTAGTATTTATCAAAATATGCCTTCATATTCCATTCTTATTTCTTATGCACATATATACAACTGATATTTTGTTGTTGCTGTTGTTGGCTACGTAACATAAGATATATCATCGGTTTATGTGGATATCCTTTTTCTATAGTTTCTTTAATGAACATGATAGCTGAAAGAAATATCATCCAGTTGTATTTACGTTGATATCTCATACTTGAACATGATAATATATGTGGAAATAAATAAATATAAGTGCATTGACACATCGATCACCTAGGTTTCATCAACTATTCTATAAGTTTGATTTTTAAATCAACACTTTTGTAATTTCTGATGAGTAATAAATGGTGAAATATCAAATATTAAAGTTCATTCAGTTTGTTTGTGTATGTAAAATGTGAATAAATTATAAGATTAAGGTAAGTTTGCAAGAGGTTTTATTTTCTTGTTGGAAATTGGTTTTGCATGGAATAAAGAAGATAATTGGCAAGTGTTTTAAAAGTGATGTCAGATCTTTCTACCATCCAAATTATTTCTAAAATAAAAAGTTTTTTCAATCATGTTTTAAATAGATTTTTTAAAGGTACAGATTTTTTTTGTTTTTGTTTTTGCTTTTAGAATAAATAAATCTCGAACATTGTTTTTTTCTATAAAATTTATATGCAAGTCACTAAATCTCTTAAAACTTGCAGCCAAAATTTTACAACAAAAAATTATTTACAACTACAATAACAAAAGAATCTACAGTTATAATCTACGAAAAAAATATAAAGTTATAGTTTTTTCCAATTAATTTTTCTTTTCTTTTTTTTTGTTTGTTTTGCCCAAGAAAGTATCTAGAATAGATGGTGTTATGTAAAGAATACAAGACTTTGAAATTTAAATGGACCTCTAAAAGGCCTGGATTATCACAGCGCGATATGACTCAATAAAATAACCACAAGCCTGATTGTAAAAAACGACGAATAAAAGCGGGTGGCAAATTTGTCTACCTATAAGACCATATGCATCAAAGGATCATAGCAAAAGTTCACCCGTTTCTCAACAAAAAGTATATTAAAATAAACTTCTTCTGATGAACCTATTTCTCTGAAACTCTTTGCCGTGAACTTTTCTATAGGGAATTCATCACTGTAACATGGGCCTCACGACACGTGGCGATCCGCGATTGGTCTATTTTTTTAAAAAAAAATCAAAAAAAAAATATTTAATATTAAAAAAATTAAAACTTGAACCCCAAGAGAAGGCTCATTGATGTACATGCTCTAATGTTTTCCCTCTTTTTTTCTCTTTCAATATCTCGACCATGAGATTGATTCGTCACTTCGATTTGATTCAACCTCGATCATGACCTCTGCTTTTTTTTCCTCTCTCCTTCTGCTAACGCACCATGCTTAGCATAGCAATCACAGGGTCGAGGGAGAATTGAGAACTAGCAGGCTAAAGACTCTTCAATAGTCTTTGCTTTAAGCTTAATTCAGAGGTTATTCACATAGTCACTCTTTATGAATAAGCGTGGATTAAGAAGTATTTTCAGTGCAATATCTCCTTGTAGGATGTTAGCTAGAGAGGTTCTGAGATGATATCACACTCTATGATGTAGACTATTTTTTCAAAAGCCCACTCACCTTTTAAAAATTGTTGGTAAAATTTGGTTTCTCTGAACAATCAAGTTACACATTCTGATGATGAATATTAATTGATTCCGATCTTTGTATCCAATCGGGTTTGGTTTTGTCAAGAAAGGTTTTAATGCTTTCACCAAGTTTGTCACGTGAAATGCAGAGGATAAAATATCTTGAGTTAGGCACTGTGAACTATTTTGTTGAAAGATACCGAACCATCTATTTTGTTGAAAGATACCGAACAATGCATTTACTCTGATATTTTCGTTAAACCTACCGAAACTTATATCGGGTTTTTCTTTATTATAATTAAAAAATAGGTAAAAGAAAAAATAGGCATTGGATCTGCAAAAACCATATAACCTATATCACGTATGCCGTGAATCACATATCAAAAACCAAGGAAAATACTTATGCATAGACGCAACTACCATAACTAGGATTTGTAGTAGTCAACATGGAACTGTTTGGGAAAGGGAACTTGCAAGCGTAGTCAGTGCGCTCATGGTTTGCGTAATACGCGTTCATCACATAAGACGCATGGCTTAATGGAGTAGCGGGGTTGTAACAGGCTCCACCTTCTAGGATTGGTCTGCAATCAACTCCATTGGCGCATGCAAACCCGAGATTTTCTTCTAGCTGCTTCTCTTTCGATGTCGGAGAGGCCACGCACCATTGTTTGGAGCTTGCCAGTGGAAGGTGATGAATCATGATGCAAGATAGAAGGATAACAATGAGCGTGGAAAACGGTGACATCTTGGCCTTTCTCTTAGATATGATATTCAAAGAGATGTTTTAGATATTGATATCTGAGAGTCGTATGGGGCTAAGTCTATATATATATATTTAATGTAGAAATATAAACAAAAATAAACGAATGTTTAGTGTGAAGATATCAATCTCATTCAATTCAGATGATTCGAATTAATTACCATTTAATTCCTAAATATATTCTTCATTACTAAATATATATTTCATTACTATACAACATTTTCTTCTTCGCGTCTGTTACTTTATCATTTCTTTTTGAAAAATTTCTACAAAAAAATTGAGAATATAGAGAAGGAAATCGAATAGAGTTGAATAGTATTTGAAATTATGTTTGTGTAAAAATTCAATCATAGTCAAAATAATTTAAATAGTGTAGAAAAGATCTCTATAATTAGAAAATGGCACAAAACTTTTTTTAGTATATGAATGTTAAATTGGTCCGACCTGCCGGCAAAAGAAGGCAGGGATATATCACAGAAACTTTAAAGGTTGGCAAAGGTTAACGTATATGATTTTTCAAAACTTGTGATGCTTTAAGAGCATCGAAATTGAAAGGCTGTTTTTTTTATGTAAAACTTTTTGGGTATAAGTTTCGTTTATATCGTCAAAATAACTCTGTTAATGTGCACATCCTTGACACGTGAGTTCAAATCAATTCAAATCTGGTTTGTTAAGAAATATAACCAAACTCTGTTAAACCGTTAGAAGCTTATTTGTTAATTTGGTTTCAAAACCTAACAAAAACCTTTAACAATACTAGCTGCATAACTCCGCGCAAGCGCGGAGCCGGGATCTGTGTTTTATTTGGTTGTTGGTTTAGTGGGTTATTCTAATAATACCAAATAATGATGAAATGGAAAGAATGTAGCAAGAGTGCAAAGTGAAAATATTGTACATATAATGTGTTAAATGTTATTTATATGAGAAATAAGTTATAGGAATAACTAAATTATAATATAGTTTTTAGTATATAAAAATAGATGTCTATATTGTTTTTTTTTATGTTGGAAATAGTTTTTATATCGGATATCAAAACTTGATATAAATATTTATTTATAGTATTTATATTTGTACTAAACGATTTATCAATTTGAAAATAACTTTAATTTAAGCTAATATTTGTTATTTGGGTTTCAATAGATAGGTTTGCATATGTTTTTTTGTAAGTTTGGATTTTGTTCATGAATAATGTGGTATTTTTCTTTACGGCGTCATCGACTGTGGAAATCCATCCGTCGGAGTCTGATAAAAATGAAATTATAGTAACTATTAACAATTGAAGAGAATTTACATAGTTATTTTATAAATAACAAAACTATTTTTTTTTTTATTTCACATACATAATTTTTTGAAAATATATATTAGGAAATATGTTCTAACAATAAAAATATATATTAGGACATGATAATGCCGCGTGAGACTCGTTTTTTTTTTCTTTTTTTTTTGATGTTCGTTTTTGATCCATTTTTAATTGTTTTGGGTTTGAGTTCGTCAAACTTTAGGATTTTTCCACTATTTTGGGCTTTAAACAATAAGTACAGAGGAAAAAAACATCTTATATATTAAAATAGAAGTCACCATTTCACTTTATGTGTGGTTTTTAGTTTGGACCATCTTTATAGATTTTACATATGTTAATTATGATATCTTTTCATATCTTATTTTTATTGGAAATGTAAATAAATATTTGGAAACAGATTCTAACAAAATCTTTTTGCAATCTTTTAGAAATATATTTCGAAAATCAGTTATCTCAAATTTTAATTATCATCAAATAGAAATATATCATAAAACTAAATTAAAATGATATATTAATATATTTATTAATATGTTAAAATAATATATTATGTAGTCAAAAAGGGGTAACATACTATGTATTACATGTATACAAATTAATATATCTTAAATTTATATATATACAACAATATATCATCTAAAATTAATATACATAAACAAATAACCATTTGGTTGAGAAAACAAAATAAAAATTATTAAATATTTAAATATGTGATTAATATTTAAAATATATATACCCATAATAATGTAAACAAATATATATATAAATGAAATTAAAACCCGCTCGGTTGAGCGGGTCAAAATCTAGTTAAAACATTAAAACTAAAAAGCCCATATGATAATAATCCAAACGGAAAAACTAAAATACATAACAGCTGCGTGGTTTGAACCCATATATTAGAAAATATGTTCTAACAGTAAAAATATATATTAGGACATGATAGTGCCGTGTGAGACTCGTTTTTTTTTTTTTTTTTTATGTTCGTTTTTTGATCCATTTTTAATTGTTTTGGGGTTTGAATTCGTCAAACTTTAGGATTTTTCCACTATTTTGAGCTTTAAACAATAAGTCCAGAGGAAAAAAAAATATTAAAACAGCTGCGTGGTTTGAACCCACACACTTGCATACTTAATTAGATATCTTATGCCACTTTTGCTAAAGTGTATTCATTGTTCATAGTCATTTTAAAAATACTATAAGTTTTTAAAATTTAAATACGTGGGACCCACTCGGCTGCTTGTTCATAGTCATTTTAAAAACACTATAAGTTTTTAAAATTTAAATACGTGGGACCCACTCGGCTGCTGACGTGGATAGCTTTAGGAGCTTCAAAAGTGAATCATTATTATATAGATTACAATAACCTTTGATCATATTCATGCCTACCAATATCTGTAAAACTAATTGATGCATAAACCACAAATAAAATATACGAAACACATAAGGTTATCAACCTGCAACGTAGATCATAATCAATCTACTAGTAGAAACATTAGAGTTTATCTTCTAAGAACTCATTAAGCATGCTAATGATTTGGTTCATAAGACAGGAAATCAAAAGCAATGGATTTGACAATCTGAAGAAGCTCTGGAAAGCTTAGTAAGAGCATTAGTGATTCTATGGTAGTGATTGTTAACATTGTTTTCTTCTCGGTGACTCTCAGGTTCAACACCAACCTTAACAGTGTCAAGACACTTCAAATTTCCCAAGAAATGCCTCATCTGATTCAGCTCTTTACGAGTTCCACCATACCCTAAAATCTTTAGCACCTTCACTTGACATATTGATAAACAACACACTTCCTCCTCCATCTTCTTCCTAGCGATGCAAACACACGCGTCCCCACATCTATCTGTAACTCGGTGCACAAGACCCTGAAAGCAAAATTCATGTAACAAAAACAATCTAGCAATCAAACGAATTGTGTGTGTGTCTATGTAACAAACGAAACTGATTACCTACGTACCTTGATGACTAGATTTTCTAGGTCGGGAGAGTTGTTGAGAAGAAGTGGCACAACTTGCCAGCCTCTTTTTTCATCACTCTCAAAAGACAAAGTAAGGAGCTTGTGAAACACCGGCATTGATTTACAGTATAGATGAAACACCTGTAGATTTATTATTATTATTTATCACAAACCAAAACAAATATATGTAAAAAACAGAGACTTTGCACATCAGAATGAAACAATCAACATAAGGACAGAATAAGAATACTAACCTCAAGAGACTCAGCAGACAAGTGAAGGGTTTTAACATTGCTTATCCCTGTAACCAAACTCGTAACATCAGGCAAAATACAATTTCCATCATGATCATCATCCTCAGACTCATCCTCACCAGAAACACTATCATCATCATCCTTTGCATTATGATCCTCACCATCATCATAGTCAGAATCATACTCACCCCAAACACATACATTGCCATTATAATTTCTACTACCATCCTTATCCACAGCTAAAACTCGCTCCTTTTGAAGATCAAGTCTAGCTTCCACAAGCGAGCTCAAATCAACCTGATACAGTCCCGCGGCATAACTTGAATAGTCAAGGTACACAAGCCCCGGTGTCCTAAACACCTCACTCTTAGGACGCTCACGGTAATAATAACCAAAAGGGTAAGAGATGGTAAGTCTCTTAACGGAAGGATTCAACACAGCAACGTTATGTCTCAACACCATCCGAAAATCCGAGGGAGGACCGTAGCGTAAGAAAAGCTCCTCAAGCACAGGACAACCAGAGATGAGATATCCGTACACATCACAATCTCTAAACCCCACCGAAACGAGAGAAAGTGTTTTGAGATTAGGGAAAAACACGCCGCCACCACGAGGAGGAGTGAGATAAAACCCACTTGATAACGTGAGCTTGACGAGATTCTTGCCCGTGAAGGAATCGGTTTCTATAAGATGGATGCATGCACTCTCTAAGTGAAGCTCCGAGAAGTTTCGTTCTAGGACAGTGCGGATCCACGTGTTGACACGAGAACTGTCGTGCTTGTGTACACAGCGCAAAGAGAATGTCTTGATGGTTGGAGAAGTGCGTAACAAAGAAAGTGTTTTTTCAACGAAGTCGCAGAAGCCAGGAGGATCACCAGTTGCGTCACACAGATCGAGGTTGTGTACGAGAGGAAGGAGGTTCCTCCATCTTTTGGACAGGACCGATGTGGAAGCTGCTTGGTTTGTCGGAATCAAGGAGAGGATTTTGCCAAGAACCTCATCTGGGAGACTGCTGATTGAATCTCTGGAACCCGTAGAGACTCTTTGGGGAGACATGAAAAATTAGGGTTTTAAAATGAACCTGTCCAACCAGAAAAATCGATTAAGTTCAGATATTTATCCTTCGTATATTTAAAAGAGTAAAAAAAAAATATAATTGAAGGAAATGAGTAACAACGATTCCTGTAAATCAATCTAATAGAAGATGGAACATTTTGTTACAGACTTACAGGGAAGACGAAGAAACTTGCTTCGGTCGAGAATAATCCACTCGATGTTTTCAAGAGTGAGAGAGCCAGAAGGCGTTGATCAAAAAACAAAAAAAGAGAGCTAGAACGCAGCGTTTTAATCAATAGTGACGTGGTGTTTTTCGAAACCAAAAAATAATAATTTGTCTCATTAGACTAACATATATTTTGTAGTATTTTTTGTCTCTAATACCTTTTAGTATTTCGAATAAATAGTTTTACAAACTAATTTTTTTTTTGAAATACTAATTACTACTGATAGTGTATTTTTCAAGTTTTAAAATATTTAAATCATAATTTCAAATTATGTTTTACAGAAAATAAAGTTGGTGTTCTACGAAATAGAAAACGAAATTCAATTTTTTTCATTGAACCTACTATGTTTACAATATGTAATCTACGTAAAGAATAGTACTCTAAAAATATTTATAATACATACTCTGCACTTAACCTATCGTTCTAAAATATGTATAAATCAGAATCTACAAGTTACCATAAATCTAAAAACCTATTGAAATCGAGTTCTACAGATTTATTGTATTCTTCGGATACGAATAATCAGTTCCGAAAATTATGGAAAGATAATATTTTGAAATATTCAGTTTTCATATATAAAAAATTGATTTAAAAAAAAAATCATTATGAATTGTAGTTACGAATTTAAAACTAAAAATTGTTATTAATTGTAATTAGGAATTTAAAATTGATGTTTTGTTTTATGTTATTAGTTATTTTAATTATAATAATATATTTATCTAATTTATTAAAACAAAAGTACTAATACAAATTACCCCTTAAATTTACAAGTTATATACAATTCAGTTCCATTAACTAATTAAATAAATATATATTTAAGTAATTTTTGTCTTTTCCAAAATTAATGAATTAATAATTACCCCTAATTATATGTTTTCTATGTTTTCCAAAATTAATAATACATTTCCTAAATCAAATTCACAATAAATTCAATTTAAAATTTTCAAGTTACAATTACATTTCAATACTATAAAGAGTTATTCTTGGGTTCACCTCCTAGGGTGAACCTCTAAATTCACCATCCAATAGAATTGCATCATTTTATATTTGATATCTTTTAAAAAAGGAAACAAAATCTTGTTAACTTATATTATGTTTTTAAAAATAAAAATACAAAATAAATAAATAATAATAATAATTAATAAAAACGAAAATAACTCTTTAAAAAAAAAATTTTAACACTAAACCCTAAACTCTAATCCTAAACCCTAAACCCCTTGGTAAGTCATAAATCTTTGGCAAATTTTATAAAAAAAATCTTTAAAAAAAATTCTTTTCACTAAAACACTAAACCCTAAACTCTAATCCTAAACCCTAAACCCTTGGGTAAATCATAAACACTAAACCCTAAATTCTAATCCTAAACCCTCAACCCTTGGGTAAATCATAAACACTAAACCCTAAATTCTAATCCTAAACCCTAAACCCTTGGGTAAATTATAAACACTAAATTTTTATAAATTTATCCAAAGGTTTGTGATTTATCTAAGATTAGACTTTAGAGTTTAATGTTAAAATTTTTTTTTTTTTAAATAATTATTTTCGTTTTCCTTAAATATTATTATTTTTTATTATTTTTTTGTATTTTTATATTTAAAACACACAATATAACTTAATAAGATTTTGTTTCCTTTTTAAAAATAAATCAAATATAAAATGATGCAATTCTATTGGATGGTGAACCTATAGGTTCACCCTAGGGGGTGAACCCAAGAATAAGTCTACTATAAATATTAATCCCATCAAGAATATACACAAATATTTATATAATAATATAAATTACATTTCTCTCACTCTCCCCCACCATGTTACTCTCTTTATTTATTTTCTGAACAAACTATTATTCACCAATTTAAATATATTACATGCACCACTATAGTTATTTTGCAATTTAACATGTATATAAAACAATTTATTATATATTATCATTAAACTTTTATCCACAAAAAAATAAAAATAAAACATTTATGCTCATATTGTAAAAGTGATGCTGATACAATTGATGGTTTACAAGACAAAATAAAATCAATCAATATAAACTATAAAATTACTATATTTATAGATATTGTATTAAATAACTTTTTGATACAGATAAATTTTGAAAAAAATAAAAAAATATCCGCATAGATGTGGTTTAATGTACACAAACTTAAAGCCAATTATAATTTGTTATCAGTTACATTAAATTTAAATCTTAGTTTTTATATGTTCCCAATTTCGTAGAAGATTAACAATCACTTAGTTTCTTACAAATGTTATAGAAAATGTATCATTTATAATTACAGTAGAACCTCTATAAATTAATACTCGATAAATTAATAACCTATATAAATTAATAAATTTCACCGGTCCCAACTTAGGCCGGTGTAAAATATAACACAAATCGATAAAATAATAAGATAATAATATTTTTAAAACTGTCATGTAAATATATGGTCCCACTAAAATCATAAATTAATAATCTAGCTATATATAATTTTATATAAGTACAATCTAACATTATTGTTGGTTTTATATTTACTATAAAAATAATTTTATTTTTTAAACATTTCAATATATTTTAATAATATTTAGTTAGGGTTTTTATATTTACTATAAAAATAGTTTGATTTTTTAAACATTTCAATATATTTTGATAATGTTTAGTTTAATTATATCAAAACCATGTAACAATTCTATGAAACATAAAAATATACACCAAATAAGATAATAAAACAATATAAAAGTCAAATTTATAAAATTTAAATAATGTACATATGCTAAAATCAAATATATTTTTTTATAAATAAAAATGGAAGAAAATAATAAAAAAATCTAAATAAGGAAACTTTCGTAAATTAATATCTTTATAAATTAATAAAATTTCAAAGTCCCAATATTATTAATTTATAGAGGTTTTATTGTAGTCTGCTAATTCATAATTGTCTATTTTTAATATTTTTATTTAAAATATTTATTCGCTATATATCTTAGACATTGATCTCATTATATATGTTGGATTTGTTTATATGATACTTAATATTGGTGATATATTTTACGTTAAAATGTAAATATAAAATTAAGTATCAATATAAAATTTACATTTATATATATGACTATATTTACAAATATAAAATTAAGTACAAACACAGACTAAAATATAAAGTTAAATACTCGTGCGGTCACACAGATCAAAGTCTAGTTATAATAATAAATATTTCCAAATACATTATAATGATTTATTTGTTGTAATTACGGAATTAAAATTAAGATATTGATTTATTAATTGTAATTATGAATAGAAAAATTAAGGATATTATTACCATTTGGAAAAGAGATAGTCTAATGGAACATAGAGTATATAAGATTAAGTATAATGAGATGTAGTTATCATTTTTTTTGTCTAAAATAGAAATTTTCCACAAAAAAAATACATGGTAAATTTGACTCCCCAATTCTGGAAACAAACAACAAACTGTATCTACTGATTTATTCATCCACGACTTCATTCAACAACCACTAATCAACCAGGAATATACGATCACAACAGTTGTGACTTGTAATAACAATATCCTATATTTATTTTTTCAAAAGAAAAAAACAGTATCCTATATTTAGAAGTTACAGAACATATCAACGGATCAAGAATGCACGTAACCACTTTAATTTTGTAACAATAAAACCATTCACCGTTTAGAAAACCCCAGCAGTTTCAAAATAGAGTGAGAAGAGGAGAAAGAAAGCTGGAACAAGGTTTTTAAAATAGAAAACACCATATCTACCCTGGAATAACAAACACAAATCAGTTTTAAAAGTAAGGCTAATATCGTCATTTACGTTAACCTCCAAATATTGTTGCCCCCGGGGATCATGGACGCTTTATATTCCAGCTTATTTAGACATGTTAATCTAACTGAATCATTCTATAAATCACACAAACGTTTTTAGAGGAAAGAAAACAATTATCTCTCTCCCTCTCTCCCTCTCTCCCTCTCTCAGATCGGAGAAGGAGAAGAAAGAGAGCCATGGCGGCTGCGTCGAATGGGAGTGAGTATTTCGACATCGACGTTGAAACCGGGAGACAATCTTTCGCGCGGCCGTCGAACGCCGAGACCGTTGAGCAAGACGAAGAAGATCTGAGATGGGCCGCCGTGGGAAGGCTACCGTCGCAGAGACAAGGCAGCCACCTAGCGATTCTGCGTCGGTCGCAAACGCAGACGCAGACGTTCGGTTACGCAGATGGGAACGTGGTGCAGACGATTGACGTTAGGAAGCTTGATCGTGCTGATCGTGAGATGGTTGTTCGTCAAGCTCTCGCCACTAGCGATCAAGATAATTACAAGCTCCTCTCCGCTATTAAAGAACGTCTCGATAGGTTTGTGTTCTTTCTATTTTTAGGGTTTTCTTTTTTTTTTTTCTAATAACGTTTAAATATTTTGATGGATTTTTGTAGAGTTGGTATGGAAGTTCCTAAGATTGAAGTCCGGTTTGAGAATTTGAATGTTGAAGCTGATGTTCAAGTTGGTACACGAGCTTTGCCGACGTTGGTTAACGTGTCTCGTGATTTCATTGAGGTTTTTGTCTTCTTTTTTTTTTTGAGTATCTTGTTAAACACGTAACCTTTTTGGTTCTAATTATATTGTATCTCTTTTTGTTTGTGTTGCAGCGTGTATTAAGCAGCTTGAGGATAATGAAGACTAGAAAACACAAGCTTACGATTTTGAAAGATATTAGTGGGATTATCAAACCAGGAAGGTTAATAAAATATAATTAAGGTTTTTGATTATTATAAGT